TTCACCTTTGGGTGATGGTATAATCGTGGTATTGGGACTTGGTGATGGAAATTTTCAAGAAGAGATAAAGCTGTCCACATTAAATACTGTTTTGGTATGGGGGATAGCTTTTGGTGATTTCAATGGTAATAGTTATCTGGATCTACTCGTCGTATTTTTAGGCGACTCACATATGGCTATTATGCTTGGAAATGGTGATGGTACTTTTGAAGCACCAACCATAATTTACTCCGGATTCTTTTCCTCTGTTACTGTCGCTGTATCAGATCTCAACGACGACAATCGACTAGATATTATTGTTCTCGGTTACTACTTAGGTCGTCAGGAAAGTTCGTGCAACTCCCCAAAAAAACAGCTACAAGGTCAATATATGTTGTAATGTTATATATCATTTTAATGAGCATTCAATTCTGCACATTTTAGTTGCAAAAGCTTTTGGATTGAATACATCTTTAGAAAAATTATTACAATTTATTATAAGCAAGTTAAATAAATTTTAAAAAATGGAAAAATTTGAATATCGAGCGTATATTAAAACTCGTGTCTTGCTCGGGAAATCAGCGACTGAGATAGCCAACGAACTCAATCTAGCACATGCTGACCAAGCACCAAAATATCGTACAGTTTCCAAGTGGGTTGCTCTATTCAGAGAGGGCAGAGAGGAGCTAAACGATGGCCTCCGCTCTGGACGTCCAATTACCGTGCATACATCAGCAAATATCGAGCTGGTGAGGCAAATTACTGAGATCGATCCCCATTCAACTTTTGATGATATTATGGCTGAATCATCCATCAACCGATATACATTGGGTGAAATCATACACGACTCACTTGGACTAAGAAAATTGGCATCACGTTGGATACCGCACGAATTGACAGACAAAAATCGAAACGACCGCGTTCAAGCTTGCCGTGAAAATTTGGCTAAGTTTAAAGAAGGCAAATGGCGATTGTGCGATGTCATAACCGGCGATGAGTCCTGGTTTTATTTGAGGCAAATCGGACACAAGTCGTTAACTCCAGCTGGGTAGCCGAGGGTGAAGCTCCACAAACAGTCGTACGGCGGGATCGCTATGAGCCAAAAAGCATGTATTCCATCTTCTTCAAGACAACCGGCATGGTCCATATTGACTGCTTGGAAAAGGGCGAGACCATAACAAGCAACTATTATATAAAAAACAGCTTGAAGCCAATTGTAGCCGAAATAGAAAAGCAAAGACCGACGTCGGGTACAACCAACATGAAATTTCTTCATGACAACGCTCGACCTCATGTCACAAAAGCAGTGAAATCTTTTCTCGATGAAGCCGGATTCACAATAATTCGCCATCCGCCGTACTCGCCGGTCTTAGCTCCATCCGATTTTTGGCTATTCGACCGAATCAAGACTCATCTTGATGATCATTCAGACATAGAAAGTCAGAAACGTCAAATTACCAAGATATTGAGAGCTGTACCCAAAGAAGAGTATAAAAAAACGTTTGAGAAGTGGTTGGAACGAATGCAACTTTGTATAAATAATAACGGAGACTATTTTGAACATTTAATAAAATAAAACTTAAAAAAACATTTTTTCTTTTTGTTTTTATTTGGGGGTGCTTTCTGACGACCTAAGTATTATAACAACGTTGCTGTGTTTCTAGGAAATGGTGATGGTACGTTTACAGAACACGCGGCTTTATACACTGGTTCTCATAGTCAGCTAGTCTTAATTGCTGTTGGTGACTTTAACAACGATAATCATGTGGATATCGCTATCACAAATATTTATGCTAGAAATATTGGTGTATTTCTTGGACATAATAATGGCAATTTTGAATCACAGATAGTATTTTGCACTGGCGGTAGTATCTTGATCCACACTATATAGCGGTTGGTGATTTTAATAGTGACAATCGTTTAGACGTTGTTTTCTCCTATCGGACGAGATATAGTATGGGTATAATGTTTGGACATGGTAATGGAAGTTTTGGTGATATTATGAAGTTTTACACAGCAGCTACACGGACATATTCTGCAATAGTTGTTGTTGATTTTAACGATGATAGTCATTTGGATATTGTATTTTACAGATATGATCCTGAGAGTGTAGATATTCTACTTGGAGATGGAAAAGGTCAAAGACAAACTCTATTTTCAGTGGAAATTTGTTATGATGTAGCACCACTACTTGTCGGTGATTTCAACGGTGATGGCGACCAAGATATAATTAGTATAGTGCTAGATCCGCCTTCTTTCAATGTTCTTTTGAATACATCTGGCTGTTGTACGGCTCAATAATTATGTTTATCAATTTTTAACAATGGTTTTGATTTAAAAAACAAAGACACTGTACAGGGTGTAACAAAACCTTTGCGCCCTCCCTCGTTCAACCTTAAGTATAAATGATATCATAAAGTATTTTATACCAGATGAAAATTGGGAGCGATGGTGTGGCGTGCAGGACTGTTGTTGATGGTTGAACGGTTCGAGATGGAGTCGTTGGTTCTGGGTTGTCGGCTGTGTTGATTGATGCGTCTATCACTGCTGTGATTTCAGGATCTGATGTTGACGCTGATTGGTTGATTTGAGGCGGTGTTCGTTGCTCTCGTGGTTGTGGCTGCTCTTGCTCTAGTGTGCAAATCAGCTGTTGGTCGTCGCTATTTTTCTGCTGATTGAGGTGGACGTTCCTTGATCGAATGATTGTTGCTTGCTTAAGTGATAAAATATTGATAGAAAAATATATATTTTAAAACAAAAGTACGACGATAAATTTAAATAACAGAAAAATAGAGAGTATACACGAGAATTTAGACGCGTTTCGAATTCTTCTTCTTCAGTAAATGCTCGTGTAAAGATAATGATGTGAAATGATGGCTATAATTCAGAAAATTAGCTGTTCATATAGTATTTGGTTCGTGCAGACGAGAAAAATGAGAGGAGGTGAAAAAACTGTTTGATTTTGTAGAGAGTGAAATATTTCAACGATTTATTGAAAGCGAGAGAGAAATTTATTTTGAAATTGGAAAACTGTTGAAAGAGAGAGTGGAATTTTTCGACAATTTTGGCTGAAATGTTTTGGAGTGCTTTTGTTTATTAAACTAATAGGGGGAGGAAGAAAATTATTTCGATTAGTATATAACTGATGATATTTTGCTTTTGACGAGCAGATTTTCGAAAAATACGTGAGAAGATACAGAATTTTCCGGTGAATCTTCTGATGTTTTCAAAATTCTTATGGAATCTGTTTTTGGATCAAGGCAAATATTTTTCTATTTTCAGTGTGTCGCAGTTCGACAACTCAGCACCCTTCAATATTTTGAGTGATACTCAAACGGGAAAAATGCTGTCAGACATTAAAACTACAGGTTTTGTAGAGAATTCAATTCTCTGTCGATTGACATTAGAAAAAGCTCTTGGAACTACTGAACAGTATCCCAAAAACAAGGAACAA